TGTGTTGACATTTTACTGCAATTATCATAATTAATCACTAATCCACCTCTCCCTTAGGCATTGTTTAAATCAACACTAATATCATGATATAAGGGCAAGACAACTTGACAAGTGGGAGTCAGCTTCCTATAACTGTTAAATTTTTAACAACTGGCTATTACGGGAAATGGAAAATATTGCAGGATATTTGTTGTCGCATATTATTAGAGGGAACTTTGGCTTGCACTTCAGCATGTTGCACTTAGCTAGTTCCTACTGGTAGTTCCTACTATCTCTGCACTTAGCTAATGTTCTTTTTGGTAGAGAATAAAGCTATTAACATTCTTTACCTTTTCATTACCTATGAAAAATAGGTACATTAGGAAATGATTGTTGAAGGATAGATTTATAACTTGTCACCTGAGAGTTGCCAGGTATATAACAGCCAGTTACAGAAACAATCTTATTTTGGACAGAATTACAAAATGGTCATAGCACAGAGGAGGCTACTTGGCTCATTGTGTCTATACTATGGAATTCATTTAGGTGCACGATGGAATGACTAAAATGACAAAAGTGGCCTGAAATTGCAAATTCCGCCTCTGAGTATGGTCGTCCCCTTTTTGTGTGGGTAGGAATAGAGTCAGGCTGGGCTTTCCGGATATTTGTTTTATGGATGCAGTTGGGCATTTAAATCCTCAGCTGCCTCTATTAAAGTGGGATTTTGGCACCCCTGTGAGGTGGAACCTATTATGATTAGCTCTGAAGTTAGTGCATGTGTTTGGATATCCTCTTTGGAGAGGTATGCTACCCCTTGGATATGGTTCCGAGACATTTTAAGGGAGGGAGGCATCATGTTCCCTTCAGAAGACATTCAGTTGACTTTTGGGAAGATATCCTTGGAGATGTCTGAAATTCTTTGAAGAGCTTAGGTATGCTTTAGGATTGATAATGGTACATATGAATATGCATAAAAATTACACAAACTCATTACTCAAACTGTAACAGAACTGTCAAGCTATCAAAGAGGTTTCAACTGTCAAAGAACTGTCAACAATAATAAGGCGTCAAAATTGTTGAGGAACTTTCAAGATAGTCATGAATTTAATTATTTGGGGTTTTAAATTTAAACAAATACCAGTGACTTTTTTAAAACATAAATTATTTCAATTTCCCTCTGTTGGCATAAGCTTGAGGACTACCATTGTAAGATTTGAGCTGCATGACTGATTTTATTACCTGACATGGTCACAGTGGGATGCCTATTAAATGTGCAGTTTGATTGACAGTGATTGTAGAATATAGGTTTGTTTTCATAAGTCACTAGTTGAAAGTGTTTCAATTTTTTTTTAAATCAATGAGTGTTTTATTTAAGTAGTGACGTTATCAAAAGACACAGCTTTATTTTATGGGTTTGCTCGTGGTGGATGCTAGATGAGCATGTATGAACTGGAGAGGCAAAAGAATCCGAGATGGGGCCAAAGGATACTGGGGAACTTGGAGGTGGGCACAGAGGTATAGGTTAGCCTGGAAGAAATGCAGGAACAGGAGTGTGGATGCAGTGGCATAAGCTGTTACAAGGGTATGGAGAACATGGGAGTGGATAGATGGGCAAAAGCCTGCAGGACTGCATGGGGAGGGAGGTTATAAGGTTGGGTAGATGGGTATAGGGTGGCATTGTAGGAGTGGATAGAGGGGCCTAGGGTGACATGGAGTATGAGGTGGCATGTGTTAGCAGTGATGTGGCATGGGAGTGTTTCTGGGAGGGAGAGAGGCATAAAAGGGTGAAAGATGGCTTTTTTTTTATTAGTTTTACTAAATCTTCCACACAATGGCAGAGATAGACCTTGTGCCCAGTTTGCATCTGCAGCTGGCAGACTCTGCACTTGTTTTAGGGTTGTCTGGCACACTGCCCAGGAAACTCCAACACCCCAGGACCTCTTGGACTAATTTTCCTGGGTCAGGTTTTTGGAGCCCATGAAATGTCCTACATGCACAGCAAGCTGGGAGTGAAATCTGATGCCTTGGTTCTGTTTTCTCTCTGTAACCCTACACATTCCTCCATTTCAGATAACAATCTAATTCCCTCTTGAATACCTCGATCGAAGGTGCCTCCACCTTACTCTCAGTCAGTGCATTCTAGACTTTAACCACTCACCATTTCAAAATATTGTTCTCTAATATCACTTTTGTTTCTCTTGCCAATTATATTAACTTTGTGCCATCTTATTCTCAATCCATACCTGTGTGGGAACAATTTCTCACTATATAGTAAGTCCAGGGCCTTCATGATTTTGAATCCCTCTATCAAATCACCTCTCAGCATTCTTTTCTCCAAGGAATACAGTCCCATCTTCTACAGACTATCTTTATAATGGATGGTCCTCATCCCTGGAACAATTTTCATGAATCTTATATGCACTCTCACCCTTTACATCCACTACAATTTTCTCATAGGGGTTCAACATTGCCTCCATGCTCTTTTCTCTATGCCCTATTAATATGCACAGTATACTGTATGTTTTATCAAATTCTTGCTCAATGTGTTCTGTCACCTTCAATGACTTATGCATATATGCACACAGGTCTCTTTGGTCCTGCAACCCCGTTAGAACCGTACTATTTATTTTGCGTTGCCTCTCTGTATTCTTCCTCCCAATTTTAATCATATCACATTTCTCTATATTGAATTCCATCTGCCACCTGTCTGCCCATTCCAACAATTTATCTAAGTCTACATTATTGTCCTCATAGCTCACAATGCTTTTCAAGTTGTGTGTCAACCACAGGCGTTGACATTGTTCCCTATACACCAAAATGTATAATCACTAATATGTGTCAGGAAAAGCATAGGTGCAAAACACTGACCCCCGGGAAACTCCCCTTCCTCTAGACTGAAAATTATCCATTAGCCACTTTTTCCCTATTTTCTGACACTTAACAAATTTCATAGAAATGTTCCTGCTATCCCTTTTATACATAAATTTGCTCAAAAGTTGACAAGTCTGTTCAATAACACAGTTTCAAATGTTTTAGGAAGTCCATGTGCAACATGTACACCTTTCTTGGCTCTCAAATCCAAGGTGGATTCAAATCTAGATATGCTAGCTCAGAGGTAGGCACACTACCCCTGTGACACAAGATTTCTGGGGAGATTCGAACCTGCTCAGGTAACATGATCTTTGCACTTGCAGGTGGTCTTCTAGAACTATGGATAATTATGGTAAGAAGTTCCAAATTTCTTCAGCAGATGATGCTCCTGGAATCTGTCTCACTTTTACAATCTGCCATTGGCAAATGCTGGAAGAATTTGCAGACGGGTCCTCAACCGGTTGACATGCATTAAGGAAGCACCTTCCTTGGCCATCAAGTCCAGAGGTGGGACTCAAAAAATCCTGAGTTTCTGGCTCAGAGGCAGAGATACCACCCATTGTACCACAAGACCTTCAGTGACAAAATGCTTGAACAAAAATTGATAATTCCATCTTCCCTTAATAGAGCAAATGCAAAATACTGATGGTGAATTTTAAACATATTCAACTTGATTTGACTGAATGAAGTGATGTCAACCTTCACAAGAAATGGTGGAATGCTGTTTTTTTAAAAAAAGACTGAAGTGAAGAACAAAAGTATATGCAACTGTTTGTATTTTGCATATTGATTTCTCCTTTAAGGTTATAAATATAAATTACTCCCTGTGGTAGGAATAAGTATGATGCAGATCTTTCCCTTCATAAAATGTTTCAGAATAAACCTTTTCTTAATTTTTTGCTCTTTTTTTCACTCAGAACAGTGTTTTCCATATCCCTAAATGCCTTGAGAAGGTGATAGTGTTTGTCTTCTATATTGAAGGAGTTGCAAGTGAATGAAGGGATAACCAGGTTGGAGTTACATATAGGCCTGATTGAACATAGGTAACAAACCTCCTTGCCTGAAAGATATGAAAGCAGTAGGTAATTTTTTTCCTGCTGCTGGCACAGAGCATAGCAAATTTATTGAATTCAATTTCCAACTATTTGAACTTTTAGATAGTGGAGTACTTGGCTAGTAATGTGATCACATGACTACTGTACCATCTCCTCAAATTGTATAACATTTTATAATACAGAAATAGAGCATTCATCCAACTAATCGGGACAGGTGTTTATAATTTGAACGCTGCTCCATCTAATCTTATTTGCGCATTTCTCTAAGCACTGTTTACTTGGCAAGAATTCACTAAAGGAGTCTGAGTTGCTATGGCAATACAGACTTTTATAAGCAAGTTGTATGTAGTTTGGAACTATGGATAGAGTACGTAGAGGCTCCAACCTCCGTCATCACATGCCTGACCAGGAATCTGTCTCATTTTACAGCTTGCATGTGCTGGAAGGATTCATCGATGGATCCTCAAACCTGTGTGGACACTTTATGAATGTATCCTCTTTGGCCGTCAAGTACAGGGATGAGATTCAACTCCAGAGCTCCAGGTTCAGAGGCAAAGTTGTCACTCACTACACCACAAGACCTCCAGTAAGAAAATACTTGAAAAAAAATTGACAATTAATTCTTCTCTCCATAAATTAAGTGGGAAAAAAAGTGATGATGCATATTCAACTTGATTGAATAAATTGGTGTCAACTTTCACATAAGGTTTTGAGTTTTGTTTTAACACCATTGTTCTTTTCATAATTTATGTAAAGACTGAAGAGGTATGGTATAGGCCTATTATTGTTTGAATCAATTTCCTTTCACTGAACTCTCTCTTTGGATTCATTTTGAAACTGTTTCTATTAAAAAAAAACACACAATAGATTCAGGTGAAGCTTCAAACTAATGATCTTCACAACAGTTATTGTAACCTGGTATTTTCCAGGAGCTGCAGCTATTGCATTTGAAAGTGATTAAATGCTGATGTCTAAGTCCGATGAGCTGACTTGTTAGTGGAACATTGAATACTAGATACCATATCTTGCAATTGATTTCTTTGAAGGACTAGATTTATCACAAAAAACTGTAACATAATACTCCTGTTACTATACCTGTAAATAGAAAACTCCTTTGGCTTGAGCATACATCATTAAAAAGCTGTAGTCCAAATTCTGCTTTGTTCTCCATCTGAAAGCAGAAATGTTAATATATAAATCATTAAAATTGTCAGCACATTTGGTTAACAAAAGATTCTATATCGAAAAATGAAAACAGCTTCAGGTAACTTTGATACCCCAATCATTTGGTTTGGCTGGAGACATTCATTTTTGGTTAATTGAAGTGTTGTGTGTGTACTTCTGTGACTGGTTACTTCTCAAGCATAGTCAAAATCAGGTAGAATTACTTCAAGCTGCTTAAGAATATTATGTTTTGAATGCACATGGAAGTCACACAAGATTTGGTTCAATCTTTGCTTGTGAAATGTTCCAAAACTCAGTCAAGTCATTTTGATGACATTTTCCAGATACTAGTTTAACAAAAGTACCATGGTGTTGCAACTTAATGATCCTGCCAGTGCACTTCTGACAGTTGCATTATAAAATGGCATGATCCAAATTTGGCCCAATATGCTTCAGGAGTTTCCACGGAGCTCTGTAAGAGATGGAGCTACTATCCACCATAAATAAGGTCAAGGACACAGGAAAGAAAGACAGAGTTGGTGTACCAGCATAGGATTTCCTATATCTCCAGTATGGCATTGTAATGGTTCACCATAAAACATAACCATCTGAATTACAGAGGTCAGGCCCACTTTGTGGCTGAGGCCTTTACAAAGGAGGCTGATGGCATAGTTACTGGCTGGAGTCAAGATCTTCCACGATGGCAGGAAATTAAGAAATGTCCCTAGTGTCATAGACACTTGCCTTCATGATGGCACATCATTCATTCTAATCCTCAGTAGGAGCTGCTGGTGGAAATGCTGCCATTTATATGTGAGGTTTGAGTCACAACATAAGTGAAATAGTTACATTATTTAGAATTTTAAAAGCAGCAATCACCAGTCAACTTTTTCCTTTCCATTGACAATATGCCCGATTTACATAGCTGCTCTTAATATAATCTCTCTATTCCTGTTCTGTATCCTTGCAATAGCTCCAAGAATTTTTGTATTTCGATGACTAGAACTGTACACAGTATTCTTCAAGTGATCAAATACTGATGATCTATAAAGTATCAGGATTATTTCACTATTTCAGTTTAATATTATTTTTAATAGTTTCTTTATGTCTTTGCCACTGTACTTTGTGTTACAAAGCCATTTTATGTTTAATATTACTTTGAGGATATGAATTTTGAACGATTAGGGAAAAAATAATTTATTTCCAGTTTTGTAGACATACCTGGAGTGGTTTATTTAAAATATACCTTGAAAGTTCACTGCGGACTTTAGAGATTTTTTTGTTTTAACAAGACTCCCTAGAAATCACATGACAGGTGATAACGGTTTACTTTGCTGTTGACTATGCTGGGGCTGTTTTTGAATAGTGACTTATTTTATCAAAGTGAATTGGAAGAAAGCCTGCTGATAACAGACTGAGTTTGAGGGAAGCTTGCCGTGAACCAGCTGAGTTGAAGGGAATCCCGCAGAGAATTATATGTGTTGGAGGGAATTCTGCTAAGATAAAGCTGAGTGGTGGAAAGCTGGCTACGAACAAGCTATCCAGCTGATTTCTCCTACTTCTGAATAGAAAGCCCTCTACATCTGTTCATGTTGAAACCTATTTGCTCTTTCAAAAGAACGGTTAAAATAACATCTTAAGATTGTATTTGCTGAGCAATCTGTGCCTGCAACACTTCTGAGATTATAATGCATGATTAGTGACTTTATCTGATGTGCTAGAACATCAGAGCAAATGCCTCCAGAACATCCTAAATTTTATCTTTTTGCATTCAAGAATAATCCATTGGTCAAAGTATGCTTTTTTTCCCCAGAAAGTAAATCTCTTCAGAGGAATCTGTTTTATTTCCCTCTTTTCACCTGGAAAAGTGTGTCTGATTATATTTATACTCAGTATGTTTTGAACATTTTGTTTTGATAAAAAGCCCATAATTTTGTTTATTAAGAAAGTTGTTGTTTAAAATCTGACATAGATAAAGTATTTAATTGATATCCTTGCTATTGTTAACTCTTGCTACAGTTTAGTTTTAACTTTATGTTGTCAGCCATGGAATAATGGGACTAGAGTGACAGGTGCACTTCTCCAGTCTCTTGTTTGGAACATTTACATTAATCATTTCAATATATTGTTAATCAGGATTCTCAGAACTCTTCAATTTTCCTTACCCATTTAATTGATGCTCCCTCCCTATATTTGTTTCTCTTCAAGTGAAGAATTTTCATCTCTGTAGATTAAATTCACCTGCTGCCTGTCTGCTCAATCTCCAGGTATATTCAAATCCTCCCATTGCTTATCCTGTTCAACTTCATTCACTTAGTATGATATAAATTTAGCTGTTGTATGTATGACTTCTAACTTCAGATAATACACAAAGATGTTGAACAAGGAAGGTCCTGTAACAGACCCCTGTGTGACCCCACAGGGTCATGTTACCCCAGACCGATGACAATTGTCGCAGCACTAATCTCTGGCTTTCTATTGGTCAACAAATTACATATCCTATTCAAATTATTTCAACTTATTCCTGTTTCCCTTACTTTCAGTCCCAATATCTCCAAAGGAACTGTATCAAAGGCCATACTGAAATCCAAAGTATGCCAGGCACACACGGCCTTACCCCCATCAATCACCTTTATCATAATCTCAATGAAAACTAGTAAATTAGATTAAATAGTTTTAAGATCATTACCTACATAGAGTCTCCCAAGTAATTGGGAAGGGACATGGAAAGGGAAAAATGAATATGAAAAGGGATTTAAAAAAAAAATTATATTCACCAGGATAAAGCTGGAATCCTTCAGGGTCAAACAATCAATATAAACAGAGGAATGAAATTCTACAATGAATAGAGGAGTCATGCTAGCACATGTGATTAAATATCATTGGTGCCTATACTGACTGTGAATTCAGGGGAAGGCCTGTTCATTGCATAGGAAAGTCAGGCATCCATTCCACTGGGTGCACATCTAGCCAAACAGGCCGTCAGTGGTAGTAGAAAAATGGCCAGCTTGGAGGATCAACTGTCAAGATCAACTCCACCTTTACCCAGAAAAAGCTGTCTGTGTGCTTTCAAGAACCTCCTTTGTTAGAAAAATATAAAATATAAAGTGGACAAGTCCACAATAGAGGAATTTTTGCCTTCCTTTTATTTCAAATACAGGATAATATTAATAGATTCTTTTTGCTGTATGATGGAGGTGATTTGAGGAAAAAACTTCACCCAGAGAGTTGTGGGTATCTGGAACTCACTGCCTTAAAGGATGGTATAAAAGCTGGAACCCTGAAGACATTTAAGAGCTTTTTAGATGATCATTGGAAACACTGTCATATCCAAAGACCATGGGCTATCTGCTGGAAAGTAGGAATAGAACAGATGGATGTTTGATGCCTGGTACAGACACAATGGGCCAATGGGTCTCTTTCCATTCAGTAAAAATATGACTCTCTGACCTTATGTGGGTGCCACCTATTTGTTGCCTATCCCTAATTGCCATTGATTGAACAGTTCATTTGGCCATTTCAGAGGGCAGTTAAGAGTCAACTTTGTACCTGAAGTCACATGTGGTCAGACAAGGTAATGTTGGCAAATTTCTTTCTCTAAAGGACATTATTAAACATTAATGATGCATTTTTGCAACAAATCAAGCTAGTTATTGTGCTTACTGTTGCTGAGACTGGTTCATGTTGAATAAAATATTTCTGTCAAATTTTAATTTGTTCCTTGATAACGGAATGGCAAGGCTGCAGCCAGGATACTGCAATCATGCACCTAGACACTAAATAATCGAGAGCAAGTGAGATGCAGCCTATCTCTGAGCTGGAACCCTGTCCCTGCATGCTAAATGTCCTTGCTGCAGCCTTTCAATGCTAGATGTCAGTGCACCCTGCAATGCTAGTCTGTGCTTCCAGAGGTGCCATGGTGATTGTGAGGGTTTGACAAATGCTCAATGCTAGTGTACATCAACAAGGGGGCCATGTAAGGGGCCCATCCATCAAACATCCTGTGATACAGCTTGGTCCAATGCAACATGGAGGTCCTTCTGAGCAAGTGGTGAGCTGAAGCTGCCGAGTACCCGCTCTGGTTTCCATGTTGTGTTTTCTTAATGCCCACCTTGTTTGGTGAGTTTGGTAAAGTAGAAAGCTGAACATTAATGAAGTTTGTCAGTCCATTAACAAGGCAGGATATGGGTGAAAGCAGGAACAGGGTAGCCATCATCATATAGAATGGTGAAGCAGGCTCAAAGGGCCAAATAGTCTGCTCCTACTTTCCATTTTACTATGTTTACAAAGCAATAGTCCACCTTAATGAGCAACTCACTATTGTTTTAGTGGGAGATTCACTTCGCCACTTGTCATAAACATGACAAATGTAGCAATATGCTCCCAAAGTCAAGGTGGCCTTGCTAGACTATTTGTCCTATTCTGCCACAAATCCTGCCATAGCTCACATCATTCAAGTCACTACAAGATTCCACCATTGATCTAGAGTAGGGATTTTGAAATCAAAATATATGCCAGCTCCCCTAAAAGCAAAACAATTCAAAGTACACAAAAGGATCCCATAGTGAAAACCAGCAAAGCCAGTGTAATATACAAAATACCATTCAAGGACTGTGAGAAACGCTACATAAGGCCAGACCGGAAGAAAACTGACAATACGGATACATGAAAACCAACTAGCCACCAAGAGACACAACCAATTCTCACTTGTCTCACTACACACGGACAATGAGGGACACGAATTCGACTGGGACAACACATCCATAATCACACAAGCCAAACAGAAACACATCAGGGAATTCCTGGAAGCCTGGTATTCCAACCGAACTCCATCAACAAACACATTGAATTAGACCCTGTGTACAAACCACTGAGAAACAGAACCAGAAGTTAAACCAATCCCCCAGCAACCAAGGCATTATAAATAACAAGCAGGACAGAACACCGACACGTCACCAGAGGTGCACTGATGATGCTACCTAGCAGGGTGACAAAACATTTGCAACCAAACCCACCGGCTCGGTGAGCGTGTCTACAACCTCAAAGTACATACTGGGCTGGGGTGGATGCGTATTAACATAGAAGCCAAAGTCTGTGGTTGGAGATTGTTGAACTCAATGTTGGGTTCAGAAGGTTGTGAAATGCCTAAACAAAAGAATTTAGGCAGTGTATGTACACTGCTTGTACTGGGCTTCAGTGCAACACTGTAGCAAACCTTGGACAGAAATATGAGCATGAGAACAAAAAGGACCACTTTTGTTGCCTATGAATCATTCATACTTTCAATGGCAGACACAGGTGAACAACAGTGGTGAAATGTTTATGCTTTTGAGGCAACAGTGCAGAAGAATGAGACAAAATAGGCACGTGTAGATATCTTCCAATGGACCTCTACTTTAGCACCAACTGGTCTGGTGCTTTGCCTTGTTATTTGGAGGCTCTTGATGCACAGAAATGTTCAGTGCCCTCCACACTGCTCCACTACAATGGGCCATGCTAACCTTATTAGACATATGCCTGCCATTTTAATACCGGCCCCAGGTACTGAACTCATAAACTAAAAGCTGCAGGCACTAACACGAACACTGCAGTCATGTCAGATTTTTGTTTTAGCTAAATATACACATATAAAAACAATGCATAACCAACCAAACAACAATGAATTTCAAAACTTTCACAAGGAATGAGACAAAATAAATCAACTCTCTCAACATTCAGATGATTAACTTAATAACAGCCCTATCTTCCTGATGAATTCTGCTGCCTTTGCAGAGGATAAATGATGAAATAAGGCATTGCTCACTGGCTTACAGTTTCATCATCACTAAAGTGGTAGAGCTCGAAAACATGGAATGTATAGAATCTTCCTGCCTGGGGAAGAGATTAGAAATCCGTAATTAATAATAATAATAACTTATTGTAGTTGGCTCTGCATAAGGGAGAATGGATTTCTAATCTCTTCCCCAGGCAGGAAGATTCTATACATTCCATGTTTTCGAGCTCTACCACTTTAGTGATGATGAAACTGTAAGCCAGTGAGCAATGCCTTATTTCATCATTTATCCTCTGCAAAGGCAGCAGAATTCATCAGGAAGATAGGGCTGTTATTACGTTAATCATCTGAATGTTGAGAGAGTTGATTTATTTTGTCTCATTCCTTGTGAAAGTTTTGAATACATGGGTACATGAATAATAAGAGTTTAGAGGGATATGGGCCAAATGCTGGCAAATGGGATTAGATCAGTTTAGGATATCTGGTTGGTGTGGATGAGTTGGACCAAAGGGTCTGTTTCCATGCTATATAACTCTATGACTCTAATTGATGAAAAATCTGAAATTAATTGTCCAACTTTAAAACGAATGTTGTGGTCTACTTAATTTTGTTGAGTCATATGTTGTTGAAAGCACTGGCCATTTATGGTAGGATTGGAATACCCTGTTCATTAAGAACCATTAGGAGAATACACTCCTGGCCTATGATCAAGCATTAGCTGAGAATCCACAATGATTCTGGAGAAACAATTGTTTTAATCCATTTCTTCCACTTCTCTGAGATCTGTGTACCCAGACACCTTTTAGGCTGTGCCTGTTTCAGGTAGTTCCATTTTAGGTTGAATATGGGCTCAAATAAAGCTTCCTGTATTCTGACTTAACAGTCGGAAATGAGGACTGTTATGATCCAATGGTTTTAGGAATGGACACGGAATAATTTTTAAAAAAAATTTAGCCCTTATTCCTGCATGTTGTATCACAAGCAAGCAGAACAGGAAAAGACTCCTGTCCAGCTATAAATTAAGCCTGGGATACAACTTAAAGTATTATTTCAAATCTATGCAGCTGGGGTACAACTTCCAAAAATGTTTCAGCCGTGAATTCTTGAAACATATCAACTAAGTCAGGCGGTGGTGGATCTAGATTAAGCTTCAATTCGATAAACCCAGTTTAGAGGTGGTCCTTGCAGACAGGTGGTAACTAAAACCAACCACGTCTGAATCATTACTGTTTGTCTTGGTATTGACAAGAAAATGGTAAAACAAATGGAGACTATGTCGGTAGTTATTTTTAATTGACCTGTTTGGACCTATCCAGGGCAATGAGGCCTGAAACTGGGCCCTCCTAGGCCAGATGTAGGGATACATCCACTGCACCACAAGACCTCCAATGACAACGTAGAAATGCTGACAAAATGTAATGGGCAAGACTGACACCTTTCACTTACGGTACTTCCCTGGCCTGACATTAGAGTACCACCCCAACATGACAATATAACTGTTAAATTGTTAGAAACTCCAAGGACTCAAGTATTGCCTCCTTAAGATAATTGTGCTTATCTAATTCTGGCCTTCTGAGTAGCCACATTGTAAATGCTTCTTCATTGGTGACAGTGCCTTCTGCTGCCTGGGTCCTAATCCCCCCTATTTCTTTTCCTTCCTTCAAAATTCTTCTTAAAACTTGACTCTGGACCAGTGTTAATGCTGCAAGTCCAAGAACCTCCTTCAGAAGACCTGTTCTGAAGAAATGTCAGAGGACTTAAAATGTTAACTCTGTTCTCTCTCCACAGATGCTACCAGACCTGCTGAGCTTCTCCAGCAATCTCTGTTTTTGTTTGTTTCAGCCTGATCCAATGGATCATATTGGATGATTATCCAATGATGCGGCTGCCGAATCTTGCAGGGTCAGTGGAAGGACACCCGATTACCATGGGAGAGCTTGGTGCAAGGTCATCTTGGGAACATTCCAGTGCATGACGATGAAAATCTTGATGAAGTACTGCCTATTGTAAGAGGTCTGACTCAATACTTCATTCCATTAGCTTGGAACTGAGGGCAAAGAGTGCTGTGACAACTTTTTTTTAGAAAACTTTCCAGGGACTATTTGTCAGTTATGGACATGCCAAGCATTTTAAGTCAGTCTCCCTCACCTCACTGGATGTACTGACTGTCAGGTTCTCTTCCTGACTTCAGAAGCTGCTACTCAATGCCAAGGGTTCCATCACCAGCTTATTATCTGCCAGAACTGTTCTGAAGAAGAGTCATACCAGACTCAAAATGTTAACTCAGTTTCTCTCTCCAGACATGCTGCCAGACCTGCTAAGCATCCTCTTTGCTTGTTTCAAATTTCCAGCATCTACAGTATTTTACCTTTACTCATCAAAACAATCTAACAATGTTCTCAACAAAACAGAAGTGTGTTATGTGGATGTCATTTTTGGAGGCAAAACTGCATTCATATCGACAAAATAACAGACACTAAAGAATTAAATATCATGGCCTTAAAGTCCAATATTCACAAGTTCTACGTTGACAAAAACATTGACATTTGCAATGCAGTCTGCATGAAGATGTGATGATGGTCAAAGTGGAAAATGTAATGGAGGCTTTTGATATAAAAAGATCCCTCCCAGAATTTAATTCAGTTGCGTTGCAACATCTGTAGAATGATTTTTTTTAAAGAAACTATATTGGTAAGCAACTTTAAAATTCATACAAATAATTACCTTACTCTCTGTTGGGTGTCTCCAAACGTTTCCTTCAGATTTGAGAGGTCAGGATAAAAATTAGCAGAAGGGGAGATGATCTCAAGAAGTCCTGACTGTATTTCATAGGAATACCTAGGGGTAGCATGTCAATAATGCAGAATTTTCAATTTACAGGACAAACCAATGAAGAGAATGCTATTGATTTTCTGGCAATTTTCAAAAGTAACTTAGTTTCAAACTCTTGGCTGTTGAAATTACATTATGCAGTGTTACAGACCAATGCAAAACTAACAGCTGATTTATTACATATGTTTAGGTTAACATTATTCCTCTTTCTGCTCAGGTACACACCATATGAGGGCATTAACAACCAAGGACTTACGTTGAATTCATGAGTATTTTTGACAAAGTATTTCAATGGCTTGCCACTGTCTATTGCCAACCAGGAAACTCCCACTCTTACTGCCTGTCATCAAGCATATTGGAGGGAATTATAGGCTGACCTGTTTGGCCACATTGTGAACGCATGTTCCATGACCATGACCTTCTGGCCCAGAGGCAGGATATGCCATAAGACCTCCTTAAAGCTTTCACTAATATAGTGAAAAAGAAATTTCTCACAAAAGCCATTTAATAGGTTTAATTCCTAGTATCTCTTAGTGCAATTTCAACATTATGTCACACAAAATATGATGTAGTGTTCAATATTCTTATGGTAGGAAACTCTTTAAAGAATTGTGTTTATTACTATAAAATATTGGCAGGGCCCATGGAAGATTCATTTGGGAATTAAATATTGAATAATCTAAAAGGTCTAAGATGGTTTATGCTAATCAACAAGCTAAAAGTAGAAACTGTAATTTTCTATCTGCCTGATGCCAGTCAAGCATAACCTCTTGCATTTGATCTTGCTGATTTTGCTTGTGCTTAATTTCAAAGCAATTCCCCACACAGATGGGCAAAATAGTTTTACTTCCTTGCCCAGTCCTAAAAATGCCAAAGATCTGGAACCTCTTGCATTTTCAGTTTGGAGTCAACTCTTCCATTGACATAGCAGGAAAAGGAATTTAGTATGAGCTCGTTAAGCTTATTACCAATATGTGCTCCAGGTAAAATGCCAAGCTATGAGTGGGAACTCTGAAATTAATCCAGTCATGTAAACGGGGCTGTGATTTGTTTTGCATGCTAAAGGGACAATCTGATTGGGAATTGCTGGCACACTGTCCATGAATTTCAGATATCCATGACCTGTGGAAGGGCCCTTACCACCTGCACAGATATGGTCCATATTTAAACTCGTTTCCACTTTGTGTTAGTTTCTCTTAATCTCCTAAAATCATGTATTCAAACTGTGAAAAGCTGCTTCCTCACCCTATCTCAGCTGTTTACAAGGCCTCTATTGGAAACTTGCTATCAACATGGGCTGTAGGGATAGTCTTCTCCTCCTGTCCTCCGCTCTACATCTCCTTATTGTTTCATGATCTGATTACAGCTCAGTAAAAAGGGCGATAAGTTTGCAACTTGGCATCATGAGCTGTTGCTCCAAGTTTTATTCACTATCAATTGGTTGACATCAGACTTACGTATTTTGTAAATGTTCCACCAGCTTATTTACATAACCTTCTTCCACCTGCAGACCAAAAACAGAAAAATATATATTTAACCAGTCAATATTTCATATATGTTTGTTCATTTTAATATTATATGACTACTGGAGTACATTTGTTTTTTTGTTGTGCAGTATTAATATTAATTGATTCTATTAAGAGAGAAATGCAAGACTTAATCTAGGCTAAACAGGGCAGTGTTATAGCTCAATTTCCATGCAAGTGTGCCACTTCACTAGTCTGTGGAACTAATCTTGCAGAATTAGGATCTTTCTACTCTCTGTCTTAACAATTTAACTGCATTCCTGTCTCCAAAAACTATTATCACCTCCCAATAGCCATCCTTCTGCTGGGTAGTTTTTTTTAACATAGATTTGGGGGTCACTATGATCAGGTTGTGCTCATTTCAAATCTTTATAATAAAGAGAAGATTTTCATTGCATCAGTCTAAACTAGATTAAATCCTAGATCTGAAAGGTAGGCCAGTAAGATTTTAATTGGTACACAAGGCAACAAATATCCTATAGTCTAAAAATTCTGGTTCCACCAATCTTGATTTGATGAGAGAGGGAAATCCTGATTTGGACCTGTGTATACAAGGGATAGAGCTGCAGAGATATTATCAGGAATACAGATGCATAGGCAAGACAAACTAAGTAATCAACAGCCAATTTCATACATTCATACCACCATTAAAACTGACTATTTCAACCTATGTAATATTGCCCAACTTCACCCCTATTTCAGCTGATAGGCTGCTGAAACCCTCATTAATGACTTAACGATCTCTAGATCTGACTATTCCAATGAATGCTTGGTTGTTCTGTCACATTCTACACTTTGTAAACTTGGGGTCATTCAGACCTCTTTGTCTGCCTCACACTAAGGCCCATTCACCCACTTCCCTGTGCTCTCGGACCAACACTGGTTTCCAGTCAAGCAAACCGTCCATGGCTCAGTCCTTGCCCATTTCTGTAATCTCCACAAGCCTCCGAGGTAACTGTAGACAACTATTTCTGGTCACTCCAGTATCCCCTAATTTTAATTGCTCCAACTTTAACCATGCATGCAGTTGCCTAAACTCTGGATTTTCCTTCTGACATCCCACTATTATCTTTCTAAAATTCTTTTAAAAATAATTCTTAAAGTGTATAGATCAAATTGTAAATTTTTTGGCTGAGTGTCAGTTGTGTCAAGTTTTCCTGAGGGTTTTTCAGCGCAAAGTATCATGAGATTTTTTGCCATATGTTACCAAAGTCATTAAATACATATGCTGTCCATATGGTGTCCATCTTATTTGATTCCAGCCCAACTTACCATGCACCATTCCCAAAATAACTTGCCACTCACAGATATCGCAGAAAAACTGGCATCCCTTATATCTATGCCATCTTTAAAAACCCACTGTACACCCAGACAAGCAGTGCCGTCAAGAGCAACATAATGGCACAGCAGTCAAAAAGCTGACACTCCATTGCACATACAATCCTGTTTTCTCACCCCAGTCACTGTTTACATTTCAGTCAACATAGTTTACCTGTACTTAGCTACATCTCATCTAACCACCCTCTCTTCTAAGTCACCTCTACTCTGTCCCCAGTGTCTACTGAAGACTCAACTTGACATTGTCCAGTAGGGGAACATCATTTATACGCAAGAATCAGATAATTCCAAAGATGAACTTTTATTTACATCCAGCAAAAGTGAATGCAAACCAATTGCTTGCATGTGATACACAACTACTCTACAGCTCATGATGGTCTTCTGCACCCAGCTCTCATTTACTGGAACTGAATGTCAGTCAGTTTCTTTCTGGCTTGTAGCATGCAACACATGCACAAGAACAACTTCCTTCTCCCAAAAGTCTTCATTCACCTCCTCAGAAGACTGCTCTCATTCTCCCAGTTTCTCAGTTTCTATGGCATTGACTGGTTGCTTGCTCCAAATGTGCAGAGCACAGAGTACCAGGATGCTGCAGCACACTCTGTCTGGACTACATTGAAGGGCTTCCCCAGGCTAGTCCAAACAGCAGAGTTGCATGTTCAGCAACCCAAATGTCTGTTCCACCATGGGATGTGGCATGAGTTTGGTAAAGATGATGTGCCAACACATTACATCAATAGGGGAGTGCTCACTGCACTCCAACCTGCTTCTCTACTCAGACCAACATAAATCAATCAACTCCTCATTGCATTCAGTAGGGTCCAATAACATCCTTAAAAGAGATATAATGAGGCGATATTCCTGTCCTCCTACAGCACCCTGTCTAGGGTGTTAGTTAGCTCAGTTGTTTGGATGCCCAGCATGTGATGTGGAGTGATACTAACAGCATGGGTTCAATTCCTGCGCCAACTGAGGTTACCATGAAGGACTCGCCTTCTCAACCTCACCCCCTTCCACGAGTCATGGTGAGCCTCAAGTTAAACCACCACTATCATCTCCCTCTAATGAGAGAGCAGCTCTAAAGTCAGGCAGGACTACAGTGACGTTACCTTTATAGCACCTTTGAAAATTACCCAACTGTAGGGATGCTTTTGCCCAGGATTTGCCTCGTTTTATGTCATCGTCACTAACTTCTGCATCATTGAAATAGCAATGTTAGGTTTTGCAAAACACCAACAGTGTGGTACAGATCACTTTTAAACAGCATTTAAATCCTAGGCACATTCACTCCACATGCATTGCAAATGGGCAAAGAAGTAGTTGCAAATGTAATGTCGCTGGAGTTTGCAAATGCATGCTTCACTTTCCTAGTATTCAGCAGACATGGATCCTTTGCTTTTGCCCATCAAACTGACAGTGACACTGCCCACCCCCTGGGCATTGTCATGGCCATTTTCTTGTTCAATTTTGCACACAGAAAATGGCTACTGATGGCATCAAATTCTATTCAAGGTAGTTACTGTCAGCCCTGGGCTCCACCTAGTCATCACATATTTCCCCCTCACTACCCAGAACCTCCATGCCCCCTTCTTCCTCATATTACCCTGACAGTCCATTTCCACCCATTCCTACCATGTGGAGACACAGCCTCCAGCTGTCCTCCTTGCCCCCAAGCTAGTGGTCCTGTACATTCCCCTTGTGGTGGCCCCCCTCCCGTAGCCTGCCATGCCCTCCATTGATGATCTGCCCACCCCATATACACCTAAAGTTTCTCCCTGTCACCGTCCTGATCTCCACCTCTACATGAGCTTCTGCTTTTCCCTTCCCCTAGCCCCAGCCTTGACTCACCCAACTCCTTTGGCAGCAATCTCCCTACTGCCCCCAGAGAGCCCCCTTGCACCTTCCTTGACAATCAACACATAGACCCCCCAGAAAGATTCGCCCATGATCTCTTATTGAGTTTGATGAGAAGCACACGAGGCATCTGAGCGCTGTGTTTGCCGCTCCCTGACGGACGGTACATGATTCTCCTGACTTCTTGTGATGTGTGTGTGTGTGTGCTTGTGTATGTTTGTATGTGTCAGCGTGTCAATCTGTGCATGTGTGTATCACTGTGTGCATGTGTGTGTGTGTGTGTCTGTCTGTCTAGAGGTAACACATGACCCTCACCAGCCCTTCAGCTGGCATTGACACCCTCAATGTTTCAACAAGATTTATATCTTGGAAGCATTTTTCAACATTTCATTAGATTAAAGGTGCTATGTAAGTATCACTCGTTGGTGTATTAACTGAGGGGCTCGGTAATTGTCTTCACTGCTTGAGTGGTAACCTGTATAAGCGAATCACTGGCCCAATCAAACTTTCATCCTGTTTATTTCCAGAGAATGAAAATCACATGTGTTTTATAGTACTTTTTCAACCTATTTACTTCAGTTGGTTAAATTCCAAGCTGTGAAGAAAACAAAAGTAGAGTTTTGTTGCTGGCAAGTTACTGCAGAACATTGAGCTGCTTAGAAATAGAAGCAGCTTAGAAACCATTCTCAATGCATAAAAGTGGTTTATCTTTCAACTTCATTATTTACAATCATGGAACGGTATAGCACAGAAGGAAGCCAATCCAGTCGTCCTTGTGCTGGCTTTTTGAAATTAGTCCAATTAGTCTCACACTCCTGCTCTTTCCAATAGCCTTGGGATGTTTATTTCTTCTTTAAGTATTTATACAATTCCTTTTTGCAAGTTATGATTGAATCTGCTTTCACTACACCTTCAGGCATTGCATTTCAGATCATAATAATCTGCTATGTAAAATAATTTCTTCATATCTTGCCTGCTTCTTTTGCTAATTATGTTAAATTTATGACCACTGGTTACAGACCAACCCCAGTGAGTAGCTTGAGACAACAAGGTGCAGAGCTGGATGAACACAGCAGGCCAAGCAGCATCATAGGAGCAGAAAGGCTGACGTTTCGGGCCTAGACCCTTCATCAGAAAGCTTCTCCATTCTGACATTACCTGAAATCACTCATAATGTTGAGCACCTCTATTAAATTTTCCCTTCACCTTCTCTGCTTTAATAACCACTCCAGATTTTCTAATCTTTCCACATAATTGACATTTATTGCCTTCATCTCTGATATCATTCTAGTGAATTGCCTTTGCATTCACTCCAAAGCTTTGTCTCCTTTTCTGGACCATTGTGCTCAGGGTTGGACACAAGACTCCAGTTCAAGCGTATAACCAGTCATTTATAAAGGTTTAATAGAACTTTCTTCCTTTTGTACTCCAAGGGCTGAATGTTCAATCTCCACTGACATGAGAATGGAATTTGGCAGAATGGGGGACAATGAAAATATCAGACCAGTGGAGAGCCAGTGCTCCCGGCAACCCCTGTTGGGATCATCACATACTGGATTCTCTTTCAGTCTGAAAATCAGCTGTTGATTACCACTACTCTGCATTCATTACCAATTTCATATCGGCACTGCTGCTATCTGTTTGATCCCATGGGCTTCAATTTTGCTAACACTTCTATTATGTGATGCTTTATCAACTAATTTTGAAACTTCACCAACACAAATCAACTGCACTGTGCTAATGAATCTTCTTTGTTTCTTTAGCAAAGAAAATTTGTAAGTTGTAT